ATACACTGACGATCATGCCATCACCGCTGAAGCAGGGAGCTTTGTAATGGTTTAACAGAAGCTCTCTGAAGCTTTAGCTCACTGTTTCCCAACCTTCCTAATGCCTCTTAATACAGTTCATCATGTTTAACATTTACACAAATGACCAGCCACTATCAGAAGGGACAGAGATTTTAACATATGCTGACGATCATGCCATCACCGCCCAAGTAGGGGGTTTGAAATGGTTGAACAGAAGCTCTCTGAAGTTTTAGGTCAGTGTTTCACAAGCTTCCAAATGCCTCTTAATACAGTTCCTCGTGTTTAACATTTACACAAATGACCAGCCACTGCCAGAAAGGAGGGAGAGTTTAATATATGCTGAAGATTATGCCATCACCACCCAAGCAGGGAGCTTTCTAATGGTTAAACAGAAGCTCTCCGAAGCTAGAGGTGCTCTTACTGTCTATTACAGGGGAAATCGACTGATTTCTAATCCATATAAAATGGAGAGAACAACGTATAATATCAAAAAGGACTTAGTAGGAAATCTGCTACAAAACAGGAGCTTTTTTGTTGAGTTCCAGGCCCAGAGAAGCCGATGGCGGAAACAGAAGAACGGCCTGCCTTAGGAGTGTGTGCTTGCTCCGTCCATGTTTAACATTGACACAAATGACCAGTCACTGCCAGAAGGGACAGAGAGTTTAATATACGCTGACGATCATGCCATCACCACTCAAGCTTTGACATGGTTGAACAGAAGCTCTCTGAAGCTTTAGCTCAGTGTTTCCCAACCTTCCTAATGATTCTTAATACAGTTCCTTGTGTTTAACATTTACACAAATGACCAGCCACTGCTAGAATGGACAGAAAGTTTAATATACGCTGACGATCATCCCATCACCGCTCAAGCAGGGAGCTTTGTAAAGGTTGAACAGAAGCTCTCCGAAGCTTTAGATCAGTGTTTCCCAACCTTCCTAATGCCTCTTAATACAGTTCCTCATGTTTAACATTGACACAAATGACCAGCCACTGCCAGAAGGGACAGAGAGTTTAATATACGCTGACGATCATGCCATCACCACTCAAGCAGGCAGCTTTGTAATGGTTGAACAGAAGCTTTCCAAAGCTTTAGGTTCTCTTACTGCCTATTACAGGGAAAACCAGATGGCAGCATTCATGTTTACATCGACACAAATGTCCAGCCACTGCCAGAAGGGACAAAGAGTTTAATATACGCTGACGATTATGCCATCACCACCCAAGCAGAGAGCTTTGAAATGGTTGAACAGAAGCTCTCCAAAGCTTTAAGTCAGTGTTTCCCAACCTTCCTAATGCCTCTTAATACAGTTCCTCATGTTCAACATCTACTCAAATGACCAGCCACTGCCAGAAGGGACAGAGATTTTTAATATATGCTGATGATCGTGCCATCATCGCCCAAGCAGGGAGCTTTGAGATGGTGGAACAGAAGCTTTAGGTGCTCTTACTGCCTATTAGGTGTCAATAGCCTCTGTGCGTCTCTCTCTATATGTTGTGTGGCATTGAAGGTGTGCCATGTATATGTGCATTGTGATCTGTCCTGAGTCCCCTGCGGGGTGAGAAAGGCGGAATATAAATACTGTAAATAAATAAATCTTTATTCTGACACATTTGGTCTAGAACCCTCCCCGGACGCCGCTTGGCTGCTTTCTCATGCTGTCATTGTGTCCTCATTTCTCCTCGGCCACGTCGTAGACCACCAGGTTAAAGGCTCCGATGCTGCCGCTGTGACCCCGCCGACCCCGCTGGCACCCGGGGACCGCGCAGTTGCTGTGGCGCGAGGAGAGGTCGGCCTTGAGGTTGCGCACCAGCGTCACCTGCTTGACCAGCTCCTGCTCCATCTGGGAGAAGCTCTGGCGGAGACGGCACTCCAGGGTCTCTTCGCTGGACAGCCAGCCCTCCTGGACACGGGGGCAAAGAGGGCACTCAGTTGGGGGGCCCAGGTGGGATTGCAACACCCGTAGAGAAGGACTAGAGAAGGGGGCCCAGGTGAACCACAGAGAAACGGGCTGTGAAGGGGACGGTTACAAGCAAAGTTCCATCTGACAGTTGCTTTCCTTCTCAACCCATATCTCTATATGGGTTGAGAAGGAAAGCAACTGTCAGATGGAACTTTGCTTGTAACCATACTGTATGCTATTATTATTATTATTATTATTATTATTATTATTATTATTAAAATCATCCCACCTTTTCTTGCAGGCCGAGGTAGGGTATAGAAATGGACTAGGGTGCCCAGGTGAGCCACATAGAATAGGATAAGCATGCCCAGGTTGTCCACAAAGTGTAGGACACGCAAAGTATTAGTTGTTGTTATTATTATTATTATTATTGACCTGCTTTCCCTTATGGCTTAAGGTGAGGCATAAATGCCCAGGTGGGCCGCATTGGATAGGATAAGCATGCCCAGGTGGGCCACAAAGTGCAGGACTGGCATGCTATCCATTATTATTATTATTTATATATACAATTATTATTATTATTATTATTATTATTATTATTATTATTATTATTATTGGCCTGCCTTCCGTTATGGCTTAAGGTGAGGCATAAATGCCCAGGTAGGCCACATTGAATAGGATAAGCATGCCCAGGTGGGCCACAAAGTGTAGGACTGGCATGCCATTCCATATTATTATTATTATTATTATTATTATTATTATTATTATTATTATTATTGGCCTGCCTTCTGTTATGGCTCAAGGTGAGTTATAGAATAGAATTAGAGTGTCCAAGCGGGCCAAATAGAATACGACGTGCATAAGGTGGGCCACAAAATGTAGGACTGGCATGCCATTCCATATTATTATTATTATTATTATTATTATTATTATTATTATTTACCTGCCTCTCCTTATGGCTCAAGGTAAGTTATAGAATAGGATTAGAGTGTCCAAGTGGACCACAAGGAATAAGATATGCATGCCCAGGTGGGCCACAAAGTGTAGGACTGGCATGCCATTCCATATATTATTATTATTATTACTACTACTACTATTATTATTATTATTATTATTTACCTGCCTCTCCTTATGGCTCAAGGTGAGCTGTAGAATAGGACTGGAGTGCCCAAGTGGACCACATAGAATAAGATATGCATGCCCAGGTGGGCCACTAAGTGTAGGACTGGCATGCCATTCCATATATTATTATTATTATTATTATTATTATTATTATTATTATTATTATTATTATTAACCTGCCTCTCCTTATGGCTCAAGGTGAGGTATAAGTGCCCAGGTGAGCCACAAAGTGTAGGACTGGCATGCTCTTCCATGTTGTTGTTGTTGTTGTTGTTGTTGTTGTTGTTGTTGTTGTTGTTGTTATTATTATTATTATTACCTGTCTATCTTTGTGGCTGGAGGCAGGGTATCGAATAGAATTGTGGTGTCCAGGTGGGCCACATAGCATAGCATGATTCCCACATTGACTGGGATTGGGTCGGCACCATCGTTAGGGCTCGCAAAGTTCAGACTAAAACCCGGTGCGGATACCCCAGGAGGCCACCCAGGAATCACCTTTGCTTTGTTGGCCCCTTCGGCGGGGATC